CGAAAGAGAGGGAGGCCTTCAACGAGATGGATTGATACGGTGGCTGCAATGATGAGCTCAAGTATATAGCAGGGATTGTGGGGCTGGCACGGGATAGGGCAGTGTTTCATTCTGCTGTGCATGGGGTCACTATGAGTCGGAAATGACTCGATGGCACTTAACAACAACAACAACAACAATGATCAATGCCAATGGAAGCAGCAGTAAAGACATCACACAACGTATTGCATTGGGCAAATCTGCTGCAAAGAACCACTTTCACGTGATGAAGAGCAAAGATATCTCCTTGAAGACTAAGGTTCACCTAACACAAGCCATGGTATTTTCAATCATCTCTTTGCATGGGATAGATGGACAATGAATAAGGAAAACCAAAGATGAGTTGCTTTTGAGTTGTGGTGTTGGAGAAGAATGCTGTGAGTACCCTGGCCTGCTAAAAGGACAAACAAATCTGTCCTGGAGGAAATGGAGCCGGAATGCTCCTTGGAAATGAGAATGGCCAGACTTGATCTCACCTACTTCGATCATGTTGTCAGAAGGAACCATTCACTGGAGAAGGATATCATGCTTGGTAAAGTGGAGGGTTAGGGAAGAAGGGGAAGGCCCTCAAGGAGACGGCCTGACACAGTAGCTGTAATGATGTGCTCAGGTATAGCAAGGATCATGAGGCTGGCACAGGACCGGGCAGTGTTTTGTTCTGCTATGCATAAGGTCTCAATGAGTCAGAGACATGTCGGTGGCACCTAACAACAACCTATAACATAGCCTACACTCCATGGATATCAGTGTTCTGGTTACATAGTGCCACTCTGACAAGAATATACCACAATGGATAGATGGGTGGACAGGCTGAACTATTAAGTATGTCTATGAAGCAGGGATTGTACGCAAGACCATGCATAGGGTTGGCAGACAATGGTCCTATAAGTGTATTTGTATGATCTGTAAAAATTTCCAGGTGTATAGAAGAGCTAACAAGCGACAAGGTTGTAGTCACTTCTTGGTCACAACCAGCTACTCAGAGGGAACGCGTATTTAAACTGGTGGGCTCAGGACCATAGTTGCAGGGGACATCAAGCTTAATTGGCATAACATACTACACAAAACATTGATTCACCTCCTACTTTGGTGAGTAGCGACTGAGATCTTAAAAGTTTGCAAGCTGCCATCTAGATGCAACGATGGATCTCTCCTTGTCCAGGGCAAATTAGAATGAAGAAAACCAAAGATTCATGGAAACAATTAGTCCTAGCGAGTGGTACACCATGCGATCCTCAGCCTAAATGACAATGAGACCAGAAGAACTAGATGGTGCCCAGCTACCACTGTCAATCACTTGGAGGGGAATCTATGTAGGAGATCCTGGATAGAGAGGGAGAACAATGTGGAACAAAACTCAAAATCATTTGGGGGAAAAAAAAGGGAGGGACCAGGTTTGCTGGTCTGATAGAGTGATACCCCTGAGAGTATGGCCCCTAGCTGTCCTTCACATCTGGAATTGAACACACACCTGTGGCTTCCAGCCAAACAAAAGACAGGCATATAAGCTGAACATTTACCTGAGGTAGATACACTTGTTGGAGAGATTAATCATGGCAGAAAGAAGGGCTGTTTATGCACAGGGAGACAGCTCAGGAGGCAGGAGTGCATGTAGGGATAGGCACAAGGAAGAGGTAACTATTGGGAGGAAGTGGGAGGGGAGCTGCTGCATTGGGATAAATTGTAGTCAACGTCATGAGACAAAGTGTACATGAACTATTGTATGGATTGTGAATTTGCTCTGTAAATTTTCACCCAAATCACAATTGAAAAAAAAAAAAAGAATATACCACAAATGGAATGCTGGAACAATCAGGAATTTATTTTCTTGCAGTTCAGAAGGCTAGAAGCCCAAGTTCAAAGTGCCGGATTCTAGGGGCAGTGTGAAAGCCCCTTGACCCTGGGCTTCAGCTCTGCATCTTGTTCCTGGCCCACTGAGGCTAGGGGCATCTCTTCACTCAGGCAGCTACTGGCTGCTGAGGCTAACAAGGCCAAGGTCAATGAATAAAATGGCACAGTCCCAATGTTACCAAATCACAAGGCAGACCAATGATTCAAATCCATTGTAAGTCCCAAGGTCAGCAGAGCATGGCAGGCTGCTGAACGATGACACGGCTACATGCAGGGTTCAAGGTGCCGTAAGCTAAAGACTATCGCCAAGGTTTTTGCTTACATACAGGAAGCAGACCACATCCCAAAGGCAGCTACTCAGCTGCTTGTGGTAGATCCCACCATGGAGTTGATTGCCAGTCTCATCGTGGGGAATAACTACCACCAGCTGCCCAGCCACTCAACCAGGCCCAGGGAAGCTGACACACAAACTTTACCACAATCAGTAAACGATCCGTGTGGTGCAGAGCACTTCCCCATTCTAGAGACAGTGCCTTCATCAGTGTAGCCTCAGATCATATGCAGCTCTGTGGCAACCGCAGCTCACTGTTCACTCACATTGACATTAACACATCCAGGGGTTTTCTCACAAGGACTTTTGTCTTTTCCCTTCCTCTGGTCCATGCTCCCACACCCACCCTTCACACACTCCACCACACATGTCATTTCAATCCTCATGAGAGAATAATCCTTGGGTGATGGGTACCATTTTACAACCAAGTGTGAATTTAAATTAGTCTTTACTTTATGAATCCATGAGTTTTCACTGGAGCCAGCACTAAGATTAGAGCCAAAGGCAGGGGAATAGGGTATAGGTGAGCTGAAAAAGATGGAAACCTAACAGAATGTATCTAAGATGAATTAACTATTTGATTCTTCCTCTCTAAACAAAGTTAGGGAGAAGATGAAGAGTCATCCATGGAACAGTTCTAGAAAAGAGGGCAGGATCTAGACAAGTCTGAAAATTCATCTCTCATTACCCTAGAGACTCCTGTGTGTATGGGCTGACCTAGGACATGTGGGATGATAAGCAAAAATGACTCAGATGAGTGACACCCACAACAAATGAGACCAGAACTCATATATAAGAACATAAACGGGCATAATCTTCTGTAAAAACAAACACACAGACACACAAATAATCACACAAATGATGGGGACTAAAAGCAGAGTTAGGTGTGAGCCAGGGGGACCAAGCCACTAGGGACAGGACAAGGCCTAGTTGTGTCTGAGTCCCTGTGATCACATGATAAAGTTGGACAAGGTTCTATAGAAGGGACAAGGAAAATAATGATGTGAAAGTTGACCCACCTGAGAAGTGACCGTGTCAATGCCCATGCTGTCCTGAGCACCGACTGGGCACAGGCCCCATCCACACTCAGCTCCTCCACTGCCTTCTCCTGTGCTTATCTGTGACACACTCAGTACAGAAAACATGTGGATTCTGGAACATTCTCAGGTTTTCATTTATTTCCTCTCAAGTTTTCAGAATTTTCCTCTTTTAATTAACCCATCAACCTACCACTTGGCAAAATTTGAATGGTCGAATACATTTTCAGATTCTCATTTTCAATTCATAAGTGAGACACTGCATCTCAGAGCAACAGGGCATTAGGTCAGGGATGGAGCCATTCCAGCCCCACCTCTGCTGGAATGGGGAATGTAGATTAAGGAAGGGACTCAGTGTGGGGAGAGGGTCCTGGTGGGCAGGAGCACATTAGTCCCCCCACATCCTCATATTATGCTGATAGGAGCGCAGACACACTCAGACACCAGTTGGAGAAGAGAAGTCAGGGTTTCTTGAATCACAAAGGAGGAGCTGAACAAATCTTGTCTCACTTTGTCCTACACAAGACAAGCTATCTCATGCTACAGAAGAAAAGAATCATGAACAAATTCTGGTCAGTCACTGTAAGTGTTGACACTCTGAACACCCCATCACAATCTCAAAATGTCAAAATCCAAAGAATCCCCATGACCCAGTCATGTTACCCCATCCTCAACCCCTCTCACTTATCTGGTCCACAGGGTCTTACCCTTAGAGATCGTGAGAGACACATCAGAGCCCTGAGCACTGTCACTGCCTGGAGAAGAATAAAACAGGATCTGGTCAGAGTCCACAGGAGATGAGACCAAGAGAAAGGAATTAGGGGGTAGGGGGCTCCCATGGGCTCCCATCTACACTGTCCCAAGGGTCTCCGAATCAGATTCCCTCCTCCCATACTTACTTGCAGCTTGAGCATAATTTCCTCCTTTTCTACCTGTGGGAGGAAAGCATTCTGTGATGGACTGGAAAGGAGGCTCCATGAGATCCTGAAAGAGCCAGCTAGTGCTGGACCTCAGAGAAGTTTCCAGAACTCTGAGTGCAGCTCCAGGGCAGGATGAGGAAACACATGGAAAGATGTGCAAGGATTGGAATAACCAACCTCTTGGAAGTCTCTCCTCAGCAGGAAACTTCCCATAACCTCAACTATAGGGAATCAGGTCTCCATCATCAGAACCATTAAGGTGAGAGATTTACCCTTCATTATCCTATGTGGTTTACAAGAGAGTAATTGCTAGCACACAGGTCTCTAGACTGGATCAGCTAGTGTGGACAGTGCCTCCCATAATGCATCAGGAGACAGCAAATTTCCTACTTGGTACTTGAAATTTCCCAGTGGGACAAGAAAACTCAGACTTCACCCTCATCTTTACCTGAGCTCTTCTGCTTCCAGATCACAACTCCCACCACGATGCCAATGATCACAACTCCAAGGACAACCAGGCCAACAATGATTCCCATGATGGAGGTGGTGGGCATTTCTGGAAAGAGAAGGGAAGTGAAGAGCCCTGACTGTTTGGAGGGCTCAAGAAGGGCTCCTTGTCCCCTCCTTACCCAATCTTAGGGTGAGGGGCTCAGGCAGCCCCTCATGCTGCACACGGCATGTGTATCTCTGCTCATCTCCAGAGGGAACCATCACAGCTGCCCACTTCTGGAAGGCCCCGTCCTCTGCTGGCCTGGTCTCCACAAGCTCCATGTCCTGGGTCTGGTCCTCCCCGTCCCGCTGCCAGGTCAGGGTGATCTCCGCAGGGTAGAAGCCCAGGGCCCAGCACCTCAGTGTGACCTCCCCATCAGTGAGGTGGTGATGGGTCACCTTTGTCTTTGGAGGCACTGAGGGGAAACAATTCAGGAACTCTGCATTACCTCCCATGGGCCACCTCAGCAGAGCTCATGTTGTCATCCTGAGATTGGACAGGACAACTGGGTTGGGGGAGGGAGTGCAAAACCCAGACATCAGCTTCTTGCAGATATCTGGGATATCATCTATTCCTTGGAAAGTTCTAGAATGAAGGTGAGACAGACCAGAGTTAGTGGCTCCAAGTGTCTGAGGGGAAGAACTGGGATTTCTATCTGATTTGGATGGAGGCTGAGAAATTCTGAAACGTTGGAATCATACCTACAAACTCAGTGTGGGGCAGAGAACTAGGCCCAGGAAATACAGCCCCCTGTGGGTCCCAAGGCTACATCCAGGATCAAAGGGAAGTGCTGCTCAGTCAGGTATCATCTCCCCTACTCTCCCCAGAGAAAGTGGATCCCTTAACTGTCAATTGGGAGAAAGGAGGGCTCCTCTGGGCAAGTCACTCTCTGGTGCATGATCCGGAAATCTGCCTAACCCCTCAGTCTCCACACCCATGCAAGGGTGTAATCTGCAGTCTGCCCTGTTTTCCTCTCCTCCTTTTCAGAGGCGAAGTGATGGACACAGTCCCAGCTCTAAAGCAGTTTGGGGAGGCGCCCCGCGGCCCCAGGTACCTGTTCGCAGCAGCGTGTCCTTCCCGTTCTCCAGGTATCTGCGGAGCCACTCCACACACGTGCCCTCCAGGTAGGCCCTCCACTGATCCGCCGCACCCGCCTTTTCCCACTTGCGCTGCGTGATCTGAGCGGCCGTGTCCGCCGCGGTCCAGGAGCGCAGGTCCTCGTTCAGGGCGAAGTAATCGGCGCCGTCGTAGGCGAACTGAGTGTACCCGCGGAGGAGGCGCCCGTCCGACCCCACGTCGCAGCCAAACATGCTCTGGAGGGTGTGAGACCCTGCCCGGCCCCACGGTCAGCGTCGGTGAGAGATGTCCCCGGAAGAACCGCGACCCCGGGGTCAGCCCCGTCCCCGCGACCCTGACGGGCGGCGATGGTCAGAGCGCATTTGGGGCTAAACTGAAAACGAAACCGCAGCGAGGGAGTCACCGCGGCTCTTCCCGGGTCGATGGCCGGGCGGGTCCCGCGGCCTCGGGGTGAAGTTCGGACCCGGAGACTCGGGGCGACCCGTCCGTGGGGACGAGGGGACTCGTGACCTGCGACCGGGCCCGGCGTGGCTCACCTCCCTCGCTCTGGTTGTAGTAGCCGCGCAGGGTCTGCAGGTTCACTCGGTCAGTCTGTGCGGTGTCTTTGACGTTCCGTGTCTCCCGGTCCCAGTACTCCGGCCCCTCCTGCTCCATCCACTGCGCCCGCGGCTCCATCCTCGGATTCGGGGCGTCGCTGTCGAACCTCACGAACTGAGTGTCGTCCACGTAGCCGACGGCGATGAAGCGGGGCTCCGCTCGTCCAGGCAGGGACGTGGCGGTAGAGAAATACCTCAGGGAGTGAGAGCCTGGGGGCGGGGGGCGGCTGAGACACCGACCCTCCCCGCGCGGCGCCCGGGTCCCGGGGCGATGGGGTCGGGAGGGGAGGAGACGCGAGGGGCTCGCGGACGAGGCGGGGTGACGGGAGGAGCGGGGCCGGGATGTCGGGTGCGGAGAGGACGGGCGGGACCTGGGGCGGCGGGGACGCGGCTGCTCCGAGTGTCCAGCGTCCCCGCCCGGCGCCCCCCTCGTTCCTTCCTCAGTTCCCTCCCGACCCCGCACTCACCCGCCCGGGTCTGGGTCAGAGCCAGGGCCCCCGAGAGCAGCAGGAGGAGGGTCCTGGGTGCCATGACTGGATCTTGGGGATCTCGGGAGAATCTTCGTCAGGGAGGTGGGAGTGGACCTTATATCCAGGAACCGCGGTGACGGTGATTGGCTTCTCCAGAAACCGGAGACCGAATTGGAGTGAGAACTGGGCCTGCGTCATCTGTGTCTGGGCAGAAGGAGCTGACACAGGTTGTGAGAGGGAGAAGTGAAACCCGGAGGAGAAGGGGAATCCCCTCAGCGCTAGTCCTCCCCACCACTGATACAGCCTTCGGCGGGGGCAAGAGTCAAGCTTGAGAACCTGGACTCTGCACTGACCCTCTCCTCCTGCTCCCACTACCCTTCAGTCCTGGGCCTTCCTGCTGATGTCAGAGGTTCTTGCTAGTTTCATAATCTCTTTGTTGTTGATGTCCTTGTGTGCCCGGAGTGGGTGATAACAAAAACCAAACCAACCTCACTGCCATCGAGTGGACTCCGACTCAGCATAGCAGCCCAATAACACAGACTAGAACTGTCCCATAGAGTTTCTTAGTCTGTAATCTTTAAAGGAGCACATCCCCAGGTCTTTTCTCCTGCAGAGCAGCTGGTGG